GTCGTCGCCGCCGCCGCGCGAGGCGGTCGCCGCGCCGTCGTCGCCCGAGGCCGCGGGGGCCCTCGAGGCCGCGCCGCCGGCGCCGGCGCCGCGCCGGCGCGCCGCCGCGTCCAAGAAGCGCGTCGTCGACGACGCCGACGCGGACGACGAGGACGAGGCCTGGGAGCCGGGCCGGCCGTCGAACATGGACCTCGACGACGACGAGCAGGAGCAGGCCGCGAAGGCCAAGCGCAAGCTCAAGCGCCGCTCCAAGAAGAAGTCGGCCAAGGCCAAGAACGCCGGCGGCGCCGCGCCCCACGCGCCGGTCTCCGCGCCGCCCGCGGCCGCGGCCGCCGCGCCGCCCGAGCCCTCGACGACGATCGCGCCCGCGGCGACGCAGCCGGTCCCGGCCCCGGCCGCGGCGGCCGCGCCGCCCCCGCGCCCGCTGCCCAAGATCCGCGTCTTCCCGCAGCTCTCCGAGGTCCAGAAGGCGCGCCTCCGCATGAAGGACCAGGAGCACATCCGGCGCGCGGCGCGGCTCCACGCGGCCGTCACGCAGGAGCAGGAGCGCAACGCGTTCCTGGAGCGCATCCAGGCCGAGGAGGTCCGCCGCGAGCAGGCCCGCATCGCGGCCGCGCGGCCCGTGCCGCCGCCGCCGAACCGCGCGACCGGCGCGGGCGACGACAGCGACGAGGGCTGGGAGGAGAGCGACGAGGACGATCCCGTCGAGGACCTCATCCACCGCGAGCGCATCCGCGAGCGCGACCTGCTGCGGACGCCCGGCTGCCTCGCCCTCGGCCGCAAGGCCTTCCGCCTCGAGGACATGCCGCGCGTCACGGAGCGCGACCGCGAGATCCTGCGGCGCGTCCTCTACATCCTCCGCGAGGCCGAGCGGTTTTGCGCCGGCGTCCGCAGCGCACGCGTCGCGCCGTCGACGGAAATGATTTGGGCCCCTCGACGCGCGCGATTGCGAGCTTCGACGCCTTCGAGGGGTTCTTCGCGTTCAGACGTGCGACGTTTTCGCAGGCGCAACTGCGGCGAGCTCGAGGTCCCGCGGCCGCGGGAGTGGGCGCTCTCCGACTTCGGCGACACGATGACGACGGAGGCGATCCGCGCGCGCTTCGACCTGCGGCGCGACAACCCGCGTCTTTTTTCGTGTGTTTTCGCGCGCGTCTCGCGGACGACGTCTCGCCCGAAACGAGCCCGTCGTACGCGCGAGCGCCGTTGATGTGGTCCGTTACGCGTCGCAGGCG